CTCATCCTAGTGGATGAAGTACTCGATGAAGGCGAATACCACGACGAAGCCTTGGAGGCAGCACGAACAGACGTTATCTCTGAACGTATGACAGAATTGGACATGAAGGATGAGGAGAAGAATTCGTCTTTAGTAGATGATGACATTTTGACATGGGCGCAAACGCGCTGGTCTAGGAGCGCGTACGTAAATTGTCCTATGTTGGATGAACTTTCGAGTGGGAAGCTAATCTTCACAGTCATGATATACTAATCAGCTGCTTATTGGACTGTGGTTGTCTACGCAGTGCATCTGACTATATATCCCGCGCAAGAAAAGCCTTTCCGGAAGATCCGGTCTTCAAGGACTACGAGAAGTCTTTGTGGAACCATTTGCGGACTTACTTCGAGCATCAAGGGGAGTCTGCTGAGAACGTCGATGTAGAAGACTATCCAGACAAGGGCTTCGTCCGCCGCGAACAGTATCCTTGGAACCATCATGAGCCGGCCCGCTTCTCTGCAGAGTGCCTCGACTTCCTTAATGAGGAGCTTGCGGATATAGCACCAAAACTGGAGGTCAGAGTCTCTGAGTTGCCTATTCTCAGTACTACTTCGACAACTGACGGAAAGAACCCGGGAACAAACTATACGAAGCAACTGGGCTTATTTGCTAAAGACGAAATAACACCTGGCGAGACCATTTTGGAGGAAAAGTCTTTACTTACCGCTATATCAAGGCTTCATGAGTCGTATTGCGATGCTTGCGTTATACCACTTGCGAATGGAGACGACACAGTGATATCCTGCGAAGAATGTGAAGAAGTATTCTTCTGCAGCGAAGAGTGCCACGACCTAGCTCAAGACCAGTATCATCCAGCGCTATGTGGTGTCAGCGTCGACCAGGGCAAGGTACCCGCACGTGAGGCGGCAGACTATCTCTATACCCTTCTCCTTGTCCGCGCACTAGCGTTAGCGGAGACCCTGGATCTCCATCCTTTGGAGTTGAAGGAAGTGCGATACATTTGGGGTGACTATCATGGCAAAGATCTCGAGACCGTGTGGCAAGCGGATGCTTCGGGTCGCCTGAGCGATGCTTTTGCACACGTACCGCAAACGCTTCCCTTCTCGTTCAAGAGCAACATCCTCATGCCGTTGCATGTTCTAGAAAAGATGGACATCAACATTTTCACCCAAAGTCACCGCTATGATACCTGGGTCTTCAACACTCTGTATGCGAAGTTTCGCGGAACAGCGTCTGCGCAGCAGGGGCTCGACGGAAGGCCTGAGATTAGCGCTGTTCATCCTATGTGGTGTCTCGCGAATCATAGCTGTGATCCTAATGTCGCCTGGGAATGGCGTGGGTCGATGCGCTTTTGGACCCGCGAAGAGTTGGTTGATTGGAAGGGTAGAGACCCGAACAAGGGGCCTGGTCTCAAGAGAGATGAAGAGGTGTTTGGCCACTACTGCGACGTACGTCTGCCGGTGAAGGAGAGACGGGAATGGGCTTCTGGAGCACTTGGCGGAGATTGTATGTGCGCTAGATGCGTCTGGGAAGAGGCGGAAGAACGGAAGCACAGTGCTTCGCAATAAGAACCCTGCAGCCGCCATGCAGTGTCGAAACTGGTGGAGACCAGAGATACTGTACGGTCGACATGTGAAACCGGCGGCTTCGCATTATAGTATATTTGCAGGCCGGCCAGGTGGGCTTTTGTCGCAAGTCAAACGCCAGACAAACGAGCGCAGGATCGATGCAGCACAGAGTTGTAAGTTGTGGAGATCTGGTACAACGCTTGTATACGAATATGGCAGCAACTCGAGATATCGGCAATCGCGCCATGCGGGTTCATCTGCCGGCCAATCCCAGTATTCGTGGGGGCCGCTGTTCTAAGCACACCCGGCAGGACACATGATGCAGCGGCAAGAATCAGGCCATAACCCAACGCCATGGTGACACCATCACATCTCCGTCATGGTGCATCTCGGGGGCCCTGCATCACGGCGCACTTCGTGGGAGAGCTCCACCGTTTACGAGTAACCATAGTCGCCATGCGCTTGTCTCGTCCCTTGGGTTTTGCGAGCCTATCACAATCGGGTTCATGTGCCTTCACGGCATGACGGCATTACGAGATATTCAGACAAGCGCCATACCTGGGCATTCAGCCGAAATGTTTGTGTTGCATAATTTCGGCACTCTTCCTTGTCTTCCATCACTCGGTTGCCTTCTTACACCACACGATCGGTGTGCTCCCTGTACTGGCCTCATTTTTCCAGCGTCTAGTTCCTACTTTTGGGTCATCCACACCAATATCTTACGCGGCTTTTAAGCCAAATCCCCAAGATGGCGCACCTTGCCATGCTGTCGGGTTTCCATCCTTGGTATACACCACGATGCGTGCGTCCTTCCACAACCTTCTGACATCGAGCAACTGAAAACACGCGCTACTGTGAAGCTGACACGAAGTCAAACCCACCTCCGTGGGTCTTGCTTTTACGGATAGATTCCCGCGGCCCGCTGGCGTCATCATCTGCCGCCGACCCCTGGCAATCGAGCTTCACTGGATGGGCGGAGCCGCATCACGTGGAACCTAGGGACTGTGATTACTTTGACGGTGTAGTGATTCCAAATAGTTCAGCTTACTGCAAGAATATGGCGCTACATGAAATCAGGCTTCCTTGGATAGGCAGGAGGGTCATAAATCCCTGTTACCGAGCCACTGAAGGATTTGCGGTTACGAGCATCCGTACAGATACTGTCTGCGACTACTACCACCGGTATCATAGCACCCACCATAATGATCGCTGTTAGTATCTCATGTTGCACCGCCTATGCATTGCTCTTAACAATGTGCGGCGGATGAATATAACCTTGACGTTCAACAGGGCTCTGGCTCGACATTGTGTCCTATATCGTAGGCAGTATTTGTGTTCATTGTACTAGGAACCGTTCCATATACTCAACTACAGTATGGCGACGGCAATAATGAAGATTTCGCCACGTCAGCGTCATGATCACCATCTAGAAGGCAATCATCGCTCGGCATGTCCAAGACAGCACTTTTCAGTGCCGAATGCTCAACGGCAGCGGTTAGCACACACAATGTGATGCTGTGCTCATAATCTCATTGATCAATTACTGTAACCAAGAGTTGATGAATAGGACGTTCCATAATACACTGCGAAGGGGCTCTGCGTGAGATGTCGATTTTGGTGAGTGGGGCTGCTCTTACCTAGGTACCAAATACTGGATGTACTCTGCTAGTGATGACATTCAGATTCATGCTAAGGTGACGTGACTGATCAGCAATGTAAGATTCAGACGACAAGTCATTCAACGCATAGCTTGAAAACTTGAAGAGCCGTCACGTTGCGGTCACTTCTCTTGAAGAGTTGAGATGCCGCATATCTGAGCCCAAACATGACCAGCTCTCAACCCTAATACAAGAACAATAGAACAGCCACCCCCAAATATAACACGACTGGATAAAATGACTGCTGATGCCCTCTGCAATGTGTATAAAGTTTGCTGCAACTTAATCTCGTGGATGTGCAGGTCAAAATAGACCACGTGGAGACAAACGTGAGTGAACGCCGCAGAACAACCATCTCCGATCCGCGCACAGGAGATCTCTGAGTCCCATAGCACACCCAGACGCTCGAATTGCATCAAAGGCCCATGCCCCCGTCAGACTCACATCTGCGTCCCAACACCCTCATTTGGCCTATCACACCCTTTCGCGGGAGCTCAGATCAATTCCCACGATCCAGCCCCAATAATCGTGACAAGCGGAAAATGTCATGACCTTACTAGCGGGACGCGATAGGCGGTAGTATGCTTATACTGACAGGGTTCCATACCCCCTCTACGCAGAATCCGGATGGCAAGGCAGTACGCAGTGCCCATCTCCGTCTCTCGCTCCCCGCCACAGCACTCAACAAATACACGTATGATATCACGTCATGTATCTAATGAATAGCTCTTTCTCTTTCCGGCACGATGCACTGCAGACCAGCGCCCCGTTCCATACTTCCTTCACACCCATCCGGTGGCGGAGCTGCAGCATCGAAGGCACGCTGCGATCGAGCGGGGGGCACCAGATCAACTCACATTATCCAAGAAAGGGCAAAATGTGTGGCTATTGGATGGAGATGGTATGATCGAATCCCAACTGTCCAGGTGCGTCTGCACACCTCAGTAGGCATCCTAGGAAGCAATCAGTCACTAACAACCCTGACAAGTATCGACTGCCCTTACATTGACCAATGCCATAAATTACGCGGCAACCTCATTTTTCCCTCTCTGACAGACAATCACCCTTCTCCGCGGCATTTTGGCAACGAGCCAAGTCTGATTTGCACTCACTGAAGCGCCAGCCCATCAAGGGCTCACGCACCTTTCATGCTTACCACCTGGGCAGACCCCGGAGCTCTACTGGGCGTTGGATAATTAATGCACGTCGTCTACTTGGTACAACGTGCATGCTGTACAGATCTGTGCCGCTACTCAACACCCACACTTGCTTCTTCACTAAAGCGCCCCAGTCAATGAATTCTACAGGCGTCACCCCCAAAGCTAGCTGATGCGCCATGCCTTACTACATTACCCATGAGGCTGTCTTCGCTTAGTCGACAGATAGGATTAAGGCACTCCGTTCTATGATGAACTATTAGCAGCCCGTGTCAGTCTGGAGTGTGGCATGCTATCCCCGACCAATCTACCCAACCCGTAGCGAATGACCCAATTTATACTTCTGAGCTAAGTGTACGCATCCCCAATTGCAATAGTGAAGCATCACATCATGACCCACATGATCAAGCCGGCGTATTGATAACACACTCTACCATCGCTGCGACAATGTCACCGATATCAAACTCGAGTACACATTCCTTGTAGAGTAAGATTCTATTCCCTAGACTCGAGATGTCCCGTCAAGCTACAATGTAGAAGAGTGTCTATAAGGTATCACATCATACATGTTATAAAGCTCATGGAGAGACATACGTGCAGCGAGCAACAAAGGCCAATCACTCCGAGTTGGTAATCCACTCCCACCAGCCGAGCTGAGGCAGCCCAGTCTCAATGCCGCACGCCCTAACGACAGCCACGACGACAGCACCCAACACGCTCATGCCGCCTAGCACCTTCACGAGAACGAAGCTCTGTCGCCTTAATTCGTCGCCGAAATTGCACAGGCCAAGCGGATCTCGCGAGTCCAGCCCAACAGCTTTGGCATAGCGTTGACTGACCTTAACAGTCTTCTTCTCGTCGCTGTTGCGTCTGACTACCGCCCATTCAGCTCTCGGTAACTCGCCAGGCGATGCGACGATCGTGCCCTTCGATACCTCCTCGCCGACGCGCTCGAGCAGCCATTTAGCCCTGTCGTTGCTCTGGAGTTCCTCGAATCGTTCTCTTTCGTTTCGTCGGCTGCGCTGCAGATCTGTTGCCCATCTTGCTATCCGTACTTCGTTGAGGCGCTGCTCGCCTTGCGCCGTGTTGTTGTATCTTGCCAGTGAAAAGTTGCCAAGGGGCTCGAGAGACTCGGAGTTGGCTAAGGAGGGAGAAGAGGCGAGGAGAGGGGATTGTAGGTTCGATGGGTAGAATGGTGATCCTGATCCGGGTACCAGGACACCTGATGGCGATGCAGCGGAGAATACTGAGGATGCTGCGGATGCTGATAAAGAGGTTAGCTTGCACAATGTGGCAGGGAGATGATCTTACAATTTAGGTGGGCTCCGTTCAGTCCGACTGAAGCCGTTGTCGGACTACGTGGTTGAGCTAGACTCTGTAGCATTACAGAGTCGCCTGGTAGCTTAATCCTGCGCCGCCATGCTAAGAACTTCTTCGCTGCTGAATACCGAAGCCACGCAATGGAGTCAGGATCGAATACCCGGTTGACTAGTGGAGCGAGTTCAGAGGGAAGAAGAGGCTGCACGTAGTCGGGCGACATGAGCAAGGACGCATCCATGTTATCGTGGTCTGGACCAGACGTCGAGGAGACGGCGTAAGGATAGGTTGGTGTAGTGAAGGGGTATTCAGCTGCCTCACTTGGCGCTCCTGATCCCGAAGTCCTAGCGACCGGAAGGCCCTGTACGGCAAGTAAGGCATCGTCCATAGCCTTTCCGAAGAAGAAGGGTCTAAGAGCAGTGGTTTGCAGCCGTGCGAGTATGGACGTCTTTAGAGCTACCACTTCTTGCGCCGAAAGTGTGTCTGATTTGGCAATGACAGGCACGACGTTGGTAAAGTGCGATAGCCGTTGCATGTACTCCACATCTTTCGTGATGTCTCGATCTGGGTGAAGTCAGTAAGAATGACAGTACGAACGATGGTTTAGCTTACTTGGTGGGAGCAAGTATATGACGACGTCAACTAGGACGCCCCCACTACCACTGACGACCCCAAGCACATCATTGTCTTCTAACGTTGTTACTGATGAGGTCTGGTATAACAGCGACTCGACATAGTCTATCACCATGCTCATATCCTTCTCCGCAGAACCTTGTGAGTACCCAGGAGTGTCTACGAAACATATGTTTCTCTCCAAGACAGTATCCATACTGCTCTTTCTTCTCCGCAGAATGCCGCTCTCTTCGGTATCAGTCCACCAATGAGGGTAAGGCTTCGTGCTCGCATGTATCTCAGTCACCCGGGTTGTGACCGCGTGCTCGGCTTTCTTTGTGCGGGATTTCGACTTCGTCGGGCGTGACGGCGCGCTCGGCTGGGAGGGCGATAGAGGATCTACGTGTACGATGTCTTCGCAGGCCTGAACGATGGATCGAATGAGGGACGATTTGCCGACACCTGTAAAGTGCTTGTCAGTATAGCGCTTTCTACCGAAATGATATCGCATGTCGCGACTATGACGCACCTGTCTCGCCCGCCACCATAACTCTCAGCTTTCCCATAGCCTTGCCTCTGGTTGTGAAAGGCCTCCTGGTTGGCATCTGCATCTCAGGCATGACCAGCTGCGGAAAGCTCGCCATGTCCGGCTGCACCTCTACCTGCTCTTCCTCCTCTCCACTCGAAACAACGGCCTGGCTCGCAGCATCATCCATGGCAAACTCCTCATCGGACAGCTTGAGCGACGTTATCGAAGCGGACCTCGGTGTACTCCCCATAGCGGACGTGGGGAGTGGGGAAGGAACGTCGACGCTGGCGGCGGGAAGTTTAAAGTGTGTAATCGAGTCATTTTTCGTGTAGTTTCTCCTCAGTTTCCGTACCGAAGTTATCCTGGATCTGTCTGGCGGTGTGGCTGAATCTGTCGAAGAGCTATGCGACTCGGATCTTGAACTCTTTGCCCCATGATGCTGCGTCTTACTAGCCTTTTCTGGATCTGTACCTTCTGGGCCGAAAGCAGCCTCCAAAGTATCGGCAAGACTCTGGACTCCGAATGTACTATCCTGCTGCTTTGCTGCAGCAGTCGCGCTGTGAGGAGGAACCATGGTGTGCTCCAAATCCCCGACGCGCTTCATGACGAAGGTAGTGGGGACATTGCTCGAAGGGGCGGTAGGATGATCGACGCTTGATTTACGAGATCGCGGCCGAACAGTAGCAGGCAGGGCGTCGCCGCCCGGTAGCGGTCGCATCTTTGCAGAGCTCCTGGGGCATATGTTGCAGAGTAGGTGAGTTCAGCGGGTTGAAAGCGAGAGTCTTGGTCAGCTTCAGTAGATACCGAGTGGTGATGTGATGCACGTCGCGCGACGGCCCCGCTTAGCCCCGCGCGATCTACTGCGACCTTAGCCTCGTGATAATGCGCCAGCGTTAATTAAGTGGAGTGTGAGGAAGAGCAGTAGCCAGATTATCGGGGTATCAGGGTACGAGTGTTTCGTATGCACGAAACGCAGGTTGGCGCGGCTTGAAGCTTATGGGCTGTTGCTGATGCAGGTGATTGCGCGTCTTCGAATCAACGGTCAGCGCAGCACTAGGCACATCCCGCGTCGCACTATACCTATCAGGTGACGTTATCAGCAATCACCAGACAACCTCACTCTAGTACATCTACACCGTGTTGGAGCGTATATCATTTATTGTATTCGTACCAGATCATCTCACGATTTGACTGCCCTTCCCCGTCCGATCCTGTTGTCGCCGAAGCTATGCTGTACACCCATTACACCAGATGCTATGACATCCCTAGCCCGTACCCAGGAACCCCCAGATAGCCTTCCCTAAACATTACTTGACGAAGAATGCGACCGCGAAGAAGGGAATATGTTCGAAAACGGCTGAACGGATATACACGGATACAGAAAGGAAACATGCAGAAACGAAACCACTCGCTATGCAAGGGCTCAGAGCCCTAAGACGAACGCGTACGCCCAGACTTTTCCTCGAAATGAAATGACTTTTATACAAGCGCTGAAAGGGGGTCGGTACAGTACATGGCTAAAGCCGTCAGTCGTGAGGCCATCGAGTCAAACCGACTCAACAGGAGATAGAAGAAGAATGCCAAAAGGAACGAGGGAGTAAGCAGCGCGTGAAGCCTCCTATGATTCCTGAGGAGCAGCACCGCCGCGACCGCCACGCATGGGTCCACCGCGTCCCCGAGGTTGGAAGTTGCCACGGGGTGCTTGACCACCCATACCGCCACGGCCGCCGCGAGGAGCACCGCCACGAGGGAATCCTCCTCCCCTGTTGAACTGGCCGGGGTTCTGGCGGCGTTCCTCGACCTTGATCTCAATGCCGTTGATCGTGTGGGGGTTGGCTGCGACGGCAGCTTGGAAGCCAGCGGGTGTCTTGAAGTCGACGAAAGCACAGTTCTGCAGGGTGTTAGTTGAGGTACCATGTGGTGAAGCACATTTACTTACCTTGCCACGGCTGATGTCAAGGTACTCGATCTCGCCGTACTTGGTCAGGGCAGTCTTCAGAGCAGCGTCGTCGACTTGGCTGTAGACGTTCTTGATGTAAGCGCGCTTCTGGTCGGGGTCGGCGGCGGGTCCTGCGTTCTGTGCGCGGGACTGCTCCTTCTTGTGTCCAGTGGCTGTTTGCCAGCCAGCAGCCTCGCCCTGGCTTGTCGCGGGGGATTGGTCACGAGCAGGTGCTGAGGTCTGGCTGGGGGCGGCAGCAGCGGCTTGAGCAGGAGCGGCGGCAGCGGCCTTGGGCTGCGAAGGAGCTTGCTGGGCGGCGGGGGCGTTGACGACGGGAGTGGCGACCTTGTGTGCAGAGGCGGCGAGGCTGGCCCAAGTTCGGGGAGCGGCAGGCTTGGGGGGACCAGAGGGCATGGCAACGGGGGCGGCCTTTTGGGCGGGGGCCGGTGCGGCAGCGGCAGGCTTCTCAGGCTCGGCCGTCTCCTCAGCGGCGGGGGTTGGCTCTGCGACCTTCTCCTCGACAGCAGCAGGTGCCTCCTCAGCAGCGGGCTGCTCAATCTCCTCTGGAACCTGTTGAGCCGGGGCAGCAGGCGCGACCTCCTCGACAGACGGCTCCTCTTGCGCAGCCTGGTGTAGCTTGTTGTCCACCTTGTTCAGGTCCTCCTCGCTGGTCGCGATCTCGTCGCTCTGGTTGAGGTCGGCATTCTCGGGGACGGCAGCGGTGGGAGCAGGCTCCGTGACACCGTTGGGGGGCGCGGCCTGCTCTTGCTGGTCCTCGTCCTCCTCGGGCTCGTCGGCAAGGTAGCGGAAGATGTCGTTGAGGACGAAGTAGCCGTTGGTCTGCTCGGCGAGGACAAAGGTCTGCACGAAGCGCTTGTGGGGCTGGCCTTGGTTGGAGATCTCGCCGATGACTTGGATGACGATGTTGGCATCGGAGCCCTGCGAGTCGACGTTGGTAACGCGGACCTTGGTGTCCTTGAACTCAAGCTCCTTGATGCGCTCGTTGATGGCCTAGACACGAGTCAGCATGCATCGACTGCAATTGAGCGTGCTTCACGTACCTTCTGGCCTAGGCAGACGTTGACCTTGTCCTCCTCGACACCGGAAACATACTGGGAGCGCTTGTTATAGAAAAGCTGCAAATTGGGTCAGTCGCGTGGTCACCAAGAAAAGCCTTCCCGCAGTTGCGACTTACGTAGAGTCGGTCCGGGCTCTTGCTCAGGGTGGTGTAGTACTGCTCGACAAAGTACCAGCCGACCTCGTCCTTGGGGATCTCTGAGGCGGCGGCTTGCTGTGCGGGCTGGCTGGGCGTGGGCTGCTGCGAGGGTGTGAAGTTGGAGGCGCCGGTGGAGTAGCTGTTCTCGTACTGCTGCGGCGCGTAGTTGCCGTTGACGGGGCCGGATGACTCGGTGGATGCCATTTTCAATGTGCGGGTGACGGCGAGGTTATGCGGCGGGATGGAGGGCGAATTGCGTCGAGTTTGCGCGGAGTGTGGTGGGGGATGAGATACGCGAAGCAGAGGACAGGCGCCTAGATGCTAAGACAGCAAGTCGACGTTAGCATAGTAAAAAGCTATCCTCGGGCTAGTTGCGCGTACCGGGCCGTGTGCACTGAAATGGGATGGAATCCGGTGGAGATGCAGGAATAGGCGGGCGATGAGATGGCGATGCGCGGGTGTAGATGGCCGAATATATTATGCGAAGCTCCCCAGCAGATGATCGGGATGGATTCAGGGTAGTCGGGGCTTGGGCGTGGGTTGGTCGTTGTGCGCGTTCAAGCAAGAGTGCTAGTGAGGACCACACTGATTCGGAAGGCAAAATGCGAAGGAACCAAGTCTGTGCGTCGTTGCCCGATCAAGCGAACCTGTCCTGCACCTCCAGATTTCACCTCCATCGCTGCCTCGACCCAACGACTCTCGACAGACTTCACCACGAGAAGTGGCTTACTCGCTATCTTGCTATATTCACACTCGTCGATCAACAGCTGCAGTCACTCGCAAGCTATGCGTCATCAATGCCATGCGCATCTTGTCAGGGCGCCAACGCATGGAAGCGATTGCTGATTTGAGCGCAGAAGGATGATCCACACGTACCCATCGTGAGAATTCATGTTTGGGTGGCCGCACGCACATATAGGATGCATCTTCAGTTTGATGGTCCCATGTCGGACGCGGGTCGGAGATGCCATCATCTCCGACATCTCCTACGCGTCTCCCGCGCGCGCGTAAGAGCGAAATCCTTTCAACACCGCACTCGCCAGCAAATCTCTTCGAAAGACCGAATTGACCGTCTGAAATGTGGGTCACTGACTCCCGTCCCGCTGCTGCCTTCGCTGTTGTGGTAATGCGAATGTTGTGAGATATCTCGCCATTGGCTCGGCACGTCGGTCTGCGTCAAAGGCGAGGCCGAGCGCGAACAGGCGTGCAGGCCTACATGCAAACCTACCCCAATAATAGCTTGATATCGAATGTGCGGATCACACGGATTCCATGGTAAGGAGCGAAGCACCGTTACGCCTCTCAATGTCAACCTCAATGATTGACTACTTAATCATGGCCTAGCCCAGCTCTCATCTTACCAACTCCTTCACGCTCAACTTCCCAACCCTAGGCCTACCGTCTACTACCATGTCGCAGACTACAAGCTCAGTGGCATCTTTGCACGAGGAGAAGCCACGACTTCCCCAATCCGATATCGAACAACCGCCAGCACCGGTCGACGAAAAGCAACTCGATACGACCGAGCCTACAGCGGTCGTGAGCCCATTCCATCCTAGTCAATTTCCTGATGGCGGAAGAGACGCCTATCTGTGTCTCCTCGGAGGCTTTTGCTGTCTCTTCTGCTCATTTGGATGGCTAAACTGCGTCGGAGTGTTCCAAAGTTACTACCAGCGGAATCAGCTCAGCGCGTACTCGCCGTCTACCGTCGCCTGGATCGCTTCCCTCGAGATCTTCGTCATGTTTGCGCCTGGACCTATCGTCGGTTTCCTCTACGACAACTACGGCCCCAAGTACATATTATTGTTCGGTACTTTGTTCCACGTGCTTGGTCTAATGATGACCAGCCTATGCACCGAGTACTGGCAATTTATCCTCGCCCAAGGAATCTGCAGCCCTCTAGGTCTGAACTGTATCTTTCAGGCAGGAACGAGCACCATTCCTACATGGTTTCTGAAGAAGAGAGGCCTGGCATACGGGGTCATGGCAGCTGGCAGTGGACTAGGCGGCATCATCTTTCCTATCATGGCAACACACCTCATCCCCGAAATCGGCTATGGCTGGACAATGAGAACATTTGGCTTCCTCATCCTCGGCATGATGACTATCGCTTTCCTCACTGTCAAATCTCGCCTACCGCCACAACCCAGAACGTTCGAGTTCAAGGTGTTTGTGGAGCCTTTTGGTGATATTCGCTTCGTCTTACTGACGATTGCGTCATTTTTGTTCTTCATGGGACTGTGTAAGTTACCCCCCCTGTACGAGCTGCCGATAAGACGCGTACTAATCCCAGACTTAGTTATACCCATCAACTTTATCGAAGTTCAAGCGATGGCCGCTGGAATGTCAACTACCTTGGCTGGATATCTTCTAGCTATTCTCAACGCCGCTAGTATCTTCGGTCGCATCATTCCCGGTGCCCTCGCGGACAAGGTTGGCAAGTTCAATATGCAGTCACTCTGGTGCCTCGTAGCTGGCATTCTGGTCCTTGCCCTGGCTATCCCCGCATCAAGTAACGCGGCATTCATTACATTCGCCGGCCTCTACGGATTCGCTTCCGGTGCTTTCGTGTCACTGTTGCCTGCCCAGATCGCTTATATTTCCAAGGTCGAACAGATTGGGATCCGTGTTGGTGTTGTCTTCGCCTGCATCTCAATTGCGGGTTTGATCGGTAATCCAATTGCAGGAGCTATCGTCGTCCAAAACAATGGAAAGTACTGGGGGCTGAACGTCTTCTCTGGTGTCATGATGATGGCGGGAGCAAGCATGTATATACTGACGAGAATGTATATTGCAGGATGGAAGGTGCTTGCACTAGTTTAGTTGCATGCGTAATCAGAATCAAGCTTTGCCCACACTACGGGATGACGGATGTGCTTCATTACGAATGCGTAGTTATCTTGAAGAATATTCTAAGTAGAAATCTAGACGATCTTGAATATCGTTGCGTGTAAAGATTCAACAGCTTGTAAGCAGCGATGTACGATACAAGCTCTGTTGTGCCCTCGTGCCTTTTGAAACTCACTTCGTGTTCCACGTGTATGCGTGAGAAATCCTTAACTCCGAACTGAGTCCGTGGGTTGAGTGCACGGACCGTCGATTCATGATAATACCCAGCAGTGTCGCAGCTTCCTACACTCTGTCACTACACATATCAACCATGTCGACGCGTCCAAGGTTCTGGGCAAACGTTAATCATCAGCCTACCCACACTGAAGCGTGGTCTGAGCGTCTAGTCTGAGGAAGCACGGGCTGTTCGTTGTACGAAGGTTTGTACGATTCGCACATGGCCTCGTACATCAGCTTTCATGACCTTCCGCCGTTGTACGCACTGCACGCTACTCACTTTGATCTGTATTCGCTTAAAAACACCCATCGACCTTGAGACTCGTTCCTTCGTACCTAGGTAGTCGTACAAACAAGTGCCACCAAACAAGCAAAAGACGAAGCCAAGGGTGTTGTACGACTGCATAGGCCTATCACATACAGATTACTGAGCAGCCTATCATGCCCAAGCAGCGCCAAACCTGTACGCGGTGCTCTCAGAGACGGCAGAAATGCGATCGAAAGGCACCTTGCGCAAGATGCGTGCAGAACAATGAAGGTCATCTTTGCACGACCAAATGGGTGAACGGATACAACCCAAATGTTCATCGCAAATATCCCCGGAAGCTTTCGGCAGCCGGTTCAAGCGACACATCTACATCTGGCCCGTCTCCCGATGCAAATGCTCAGGTCGCGCTACCCCCAATCCATCCACAAACGGCAGGGTCTCAATCGGGTCGGAACGAGCCGCATGAGGAAGCAGTCTGGCGAACCGGTTTACCCGACATGACGATTAGCGCTATATTGGAAGAGAAAGATGCAGACGCCAATCAAAGCCGTTTCGACAAAAGCTTCTCTTACGCCCGGTCGAAACAATCGCCACGAGATAGACCGAACGGGTCGACCTCTATTGCGAGCTGCTACTCGGCTGCAGCGAGGATAGTGGAGACACAGTACCTGCAGTCAATTCTGCCGCCGAGAGAAAAGTTAATGCTTATTGTGGAGTACTACGAACAGTACATGATGTACTGGCACGGCGGCATCTACCATGGGCCAAGCTTTCGAAAGAAGCTGCTTCAAGCGTATGGTCAGTCGTGTGAGCTTGCTCTTCAAGACCTTGACTGGACATGGGTAGCCCTCTTGTGTAAGTTTACCTCCATTTCGAATGATGCAGGCCTACCTTACTTGATATGCCATCAATGCGAAGGTTACGGTGACCAGACTCAATCTTCTCGGTCGATACTAAAGTTACTAATTCCAATCTTGTAGTCGCAATTCTTTCATCCAGTATCATTGGCTCTTCAGAAATAGCTTCGACGTCCTGGGGCTTCTCGGTTGACGACAAAGTCCAGCTGGCACGCGTATGGGGCGGAGCATCGATCTCATGCCTGAACCTTGGGAATTATACATCGCAATACAGTATTCACTCGGTACAGACAATTCATATCATGCACGCGTATGAACATCTAGCTGGCTCAAGTAATCAATGGATCGCTCTCCGTAGTGTGGGGGTAGTCATTGCGAAAGGGCTTGGTTTGCACAAGTAGGTGGCATAGATTCCTGAGATACGGACTCTCGTAACTGATCGAGCAGACTTGGGCCCCATCCAGACGACGATAGGATAACTGAACTGGACGCAAGACAGAAAGAAGCATTTATCGAGCGTGAAATAGGCCGCAGGGTCTGGTATGGGACTGTATGTCAGGAGTGGTACGTCTACAGCGCGGTTCAGGCGATTCATGAACAATTCACTCATCTATTCTTTAGGCTGTGTTGTACTTCATCCGCCTCTTACACGTTGACACTCCAATGGCGGCATTTCACGAGCACAAGGCCACGCGAATTAGACGAAGAAACCATGACGCCCGTCGCCGACACAGAAATTCCAACAATCGTAGGTGTCGCCAAGTGGACCTTTGACTGCGCTGCGTTACTTCTCGACGTTCACAACGCTATGGTGGAACTCGAGGACAAAGACGACGCTATCAAATATGCCACAATCCTCAGATTTGATGGCGAAATGCGTACTTTGTGTACGGAGAAGCTGCCAAAATATCTTCTTCCTCGGGTACCGCACGATCCCAGTTGGCCACAATGGGTCGTTTGGGCGAAGCGGCTGCACCACGCATCGACGCATCATAAGATCATTATGAGTGAGTATTCACCATCATAGATTGTGCAAGGATCTACACTAATTCTGCCACGTATCATCAGTCCATCAAAACTTCTTGAGCAAGAGCTTCAAGGACGTCCGCTACACATACAGCCGGTGGGCTTGTATGAGCGCAGCGCAGAGTCTCATCAGCTTGTACACCACTCGAGATGCGCAAGAGCCGCAGTGGTGGGTCGAACAAGCTTTCATCATCACCGCAGGTATTTGCCTCATTCTGGAGCTCTTTCATCGTGCTGAAGCAGACGCGGAGGCACAAGAGTGCCATCTACATGTCACGCGAGCCATCAGGTGCTTGCAACTGTTTCACACGTCAAGTGTTGCAGTGCACGGCGTGCGTCTGCTCATGTCGCTTATGGCAGAGTATGAGAAGCTCAGAGATGGATCAAGCCAAAGGTCCACACTATCAGTGGACACAGCAACCACCCAAACCTGTCCCTATATTCCCGGCAATACGGCTGGTATTCCCATGCCGGACACTGACCGTGCGACTCAACAGCTGCCTCTAGATTCTGAGGTTCAACCAACATTCGCCGATCCGACCACGTGGAATTTCGATATCGACAGTCTGGGCTTCGAAGATCTGATGGACTATCTGCCCTCAGAAGGCTTGTTGAACAATAATGTCCTCAATGCCAGCATGTTGTCTGGTACTGGATGGCCGATGTGGTAGCTCTTTCCCCATTCATTAACAATCGATCTCACCGATCGCGCTGGTTCCTTCCGTCACGACAAGCAAGTGGTCTGACACCGAGGTGGCTCCTCCCTTGTCGGATCTTTTCAGAGCTCTGTTTAGTCTCCCCGAGTAGCCAACCTGACAACTGTATGCTCACGCATGATCGATTGCGTAGACACCACCTGATAAGGCAAGCTTATGACAGCTCATTACAAACACGCGCTAACAGGTGCAGTCACTCAGCGACGGCAGTATGTCTCAGGACCCTGAACTCGACAAGATGCTTGTGCTCGACGCACTGAGCAGCGGCCTCAACATATCCATGACAGAGCTCCTCAGCATCCTCGGTCGACAAGCCCCGATCTCAAACCTTCTTCTCGGACCCGTCATCAGACCACAGCAAATCCCCATGACGGCGGCATCTCATCCCGAACCGAGCACGCTTCTACAACAGAAGGCGCCGGCGACGACGGGGGGACAGCACCTGTTGAAGGAGTTCCACATTGTATACTGGACCGCTTTGGGTCTCGTCACCCTCATCGCTATAGCGGCTATCTGGACGAAAGCTCACATGGCGGCGCAAAAGGGTCGGAAGTCGTTCGAGGCCAAGAAACCTATGTCGGACGTTGAGAAATGGCACATGCGGCGTCAGAAGGCCCGCGATGAGGCGTCCATGGCGCTGGGGCAGGTGGATGATCAAGCTCCGGGTACGTGAATGCGTGGCTAAAAACAGAACGCGGAAATGGTTTCGCGATGCTGGAGGGCCCCACTGGGAGCTTCTGCGCTTCTTATTTTGTGTTTGTATTTGTTCGTGGAGGATGGCAACCGCGTATGGCAGATTTTAGCGTATCAAGCGAGGCAAGAGAATCGAGTGCATGTATAATACCGGATCACTGAATACTCCCCTCTAATCACAACTGCTCATTGTCTCACAATCTTCGTTTCTGTTGCTGCCGCTTCATCAGAGTCGCGCATCCAGTCAAACCTCGGCAACTCGTTGTACCCCACACCCGTAGACGCGTCGATCTCCCGGCATGCATTTGGTGCATGTACTACTCTCGTTGTTTACTGCAATGCTTCAACTTGTAATGTGTAGGGATACGTCGCTAAATTGGAATTGACGTTCCATGTGTTGATCTGCAACGATGAAGGCCATCCACATCGACAGATTCGTCTCTGTAAGCCACCTATCTAAGTATCTACATCATCTTCCCTAACCATGACAATCTACAGAACGTGACAGACCTCAAACCTTCCACCATCCCAAATCCATTCTCAAAATCGTCGCAAGATATTCACATCAAAATCACCCACGCAGCCGTAACACACGTCGACCTCCTCTACGCCCAAGGCCTGCACCAAAACAACCGCAGACACGTCCAACCGCCCTTCATCCTAGGCACAGAATACGCCGGCATAATAACCAATAGCCCCCCTTCCTCTTCCTTCCCGCCCGGCACCCGCGTCTTCGGCGGCGGCCTAGGCGCCTACGCAGAGCAAATATGCGTCTCTGAACCCTCTGTCCGCCGCGTCCCCTCGCAATGGACGAACGCTGAAGCCTGCGCCGTTGGCGCAAGCGGTGCTGTCAGTTACGGCGCTTTGATATCAGTTGCGCTTCTCAAAGCCGGAGAAACCGTTCTCGTGCTCGGTGCGAGTGGCGGGTTGGGTGTCATGGCTGTGCAGATTGCCAAGGCGGTTGGGGCGAGGGTTGTTGCTGTTGTGGGGAGTGAGGAAAAGGCTGAGGTTGTGAAGAGTGTTGGGGCGGATGAGGTTGTTGATTATGGACAGGAGGGGTGGGAAGCGAGGGTTAAGGCGTTGGGGAATGGTGGGGAGGGGGTCGATGTCGTGTATGATGGCATTGGGGCTGTGGAGAGTGGGATTAGGTGTTTGAGGTATCGGGGGAGGTTGGTGGTTGTCGGGTTTGCGGCAAGAGGAGGAAAGATGGAGAACCTGAAGGTCAACAAGATTCTGCTCAAGGGGGTTGCGGTGTTTGGTTATGTAAGTATGCCTTTCGTGGTCGTCCTGCACTTGGGATTTTGCGCGTTCGTTTCGTGTGCTGACTCACGATAGCGGTTTGGAGAAGATGGGAGAAGAGATCCGCAACGGACTCAAGATGTGTGGGACGGGTTCATGAAGTTGGTCGAGGATGGTAAGATTCGGCCTGTCATATACAAGGAGGATTACTGGGGGTTGGAGGCGGTTAGTAGAGCGCTGGAGGATGTAAGGGAGCGGAAAGCTTGGGGAAGGGCTGTGATAAGGGTATGCGAAGTAGAAGAGGATAAGACGGAGCAGAAGGCAAGGTTATGATATTGAGATATAGATGTTGCTACTCAAGGTGTCGACTTGACGCGATCCTCTGTGGGCAGTAGGTCACGATCTCCTATTTGATGGTGTGTCTCGTGATGGGCGTGTAAAGCATGTAGATTTGCAGCTTTCATCCAGAGACCATCGTAATTATACTGAATCTGTATTGCTTTAGAGGTTATCTCTACGCGTTGGTCATGCTTCACCCTGGAGGCGTGGCGTCGAGGCCATCAAAGGCGCACGGACCCTCGCGGCGCGCCGCCTTAGCGCGGTTTCTTTGGATGGGCCTTGTTCGACGTTCCCATGTTTAAAACATAACCCGTCAACTTCGACGCTCGCCGTCTGCTCTTACTTTCCTCCTTTTCCCTCTCCGACTGCGCGCCGCCCGTCCAAAATTAATCAGCGGATAGCATCACCCTCACGTCCGCTTGATTGCCGCGGTCACACCCCCGAGCTTCGCGACAGCTCTTAACAAGGACACGCTCCTCTATCACCACACGCATCGATAATCATGGCGTCCTACGGCAGCGACCCCGAAGAGGAAGAAGAAGACTTCAACCCCGCGCCTGAAATCGACGAGGATGACGTCGCGCCAACGACCAAGGCCTCGCGCAGGCCCGTAGACGAGGACGAAGAGGACGAAGTCGATGCGCCAAACAGGACAGGCAATGACGACGAAGATGAAGAGGGCGGCGGCATAGATCTCGACGATGACGATGACGAGGAAGATGACGAAGAAGATGAGGACGACGAGGATGTTGTCGTGGGTCTCATCATTCATTCGCGCTGTCTAAATACTGACTATCCTAGGCCCGACCTGCCAAGCGAAGAAAGAAGGCCAAGCGCAACATGTTCATTGATGTTGAAGCCGAAGTCGACGAGGATGAGGAAGAGGAGGAGGAGGGCGACGACGAGGGTGTTGATGAAGTCCACCCCGATGATCTCCTTGAGCCCACGGGCGCCGATCTCGACGACCGCCACCACCGCGAACTTGACATGCGCCGCGAAGTCAATGCACAAAAGGACGTTGAGGAGCTCGCCAAGGAGTTCGACGAGAAGTACAGGCGGCGTGAGATGCAAAGCACTCGCCGCGGTGGAGCCGGTGCCGTTCCCCTGGCCCTGCCCACAGTTGACGATCCGTCCATCTGGGGTTGCAAGTGCCGTCCTGGAAAAGAGCGCGAGATCATAATGTCTATTCAGAAGCGTATCGACGAGAAGATGCGCACAGGTCAGCCAGTCCAGGTCTACTCGGCCTTTGAGCGAGGCCCTACTGGACCCCAGTCTGGTTTCCTCTACGTTGAGGCAGACTCGAAACAGGCTGTGGTGGAGTTGATCGAGGGCATACAGAACGTCTTCATGGGCTCTGGTCAGTTCTCGATTCCTCCAAAAGAGCGTCCAGATCTTCTCCGTAAGAAGAAGCGTGCGCCGTTGGAGGTTGGCAAATTCGTGCGCATGCTGCGTCCCCCCACATACAAGGGCGATCTCGCAAAGGTCGTTGAGGTCTCGACTAACGGTCTTGACTGTGTCGTACAACTTGTGCCACGTCTAGACTACGGTCTGAACGAGGACATCAACTCCGCCGCCGACAACAAGCGCAAGCGCGGCTTCTTCGGTCGACAGGTCGAGCGTCCACCTGCGAAGCTTTTCAACGAAGCCGAAGCGAAGAAGCGACACATGAAGCATCTCAGCATGACAGGATCTGGCAACCAAAGGGCATACACATACAAGGGCGAGGATTACCAGAACGGCTTCCTGATCAAGGAAGTCAAGGTCAACTGGGTCAGCACTGAAAAGGTCAACCCCAAGATGGAGGAATTGCAGTTCTTCGCAATCCAAAACGCGGATGGTACCGAGACCATGGATCTTTTGGCTGTCCAGGCCGCGCAGAAGGCCGCAGACTCTGGCTCCGCCTTCGCTGCAGGAGACAACGTCGAGATCTACACCGGTGAACAGAAGGGTATCCGCGGTACAACTGTCACTGTCATAGGCGACATCCTGACGCTCCGTGTCAGCGAAGGTGATCTTCGCGGCAGGAGAATCGACGCACCCGTCAAGACGCTACGGAAATTGTTCCGCGACGGTGATCACGTCAAGGTCATCGGTGGCAGCAAGTATGTCGACGAAGTTGGTCTAGTCACTAGAATCAAGGATGATAAGATCACCTTGCTTTGCGACTCCACTCAGCAGGAAATCACAGTCTTTAGTAAAGACCTGAAGCGCGCTGCTGATTCGGCAAACGTCGGTGCTGACTCCAACTTTGACCTATACGACTTTGTACAGATTGAGTAAGTTATCTCCTCCCGTTGACTTGACAACGAACTAACATTCTACAGTGCCTCAACCATCGGTTGCGTCGTTCGTGTCGATCGCGAAGTCCTACGAATTGTCGATCAACAAGGCGATGTCCGCACACTCCTCCATACACAGGTCTCGCAAATCGTGGGGAGGAACAAACATGCTGTAGCAACCGACCGCGACGGATCCGAAATCCGACACGAGGACGACGTCAAGGAGTATGGAGGCGAAGGCCGTCAAGGCAAGGTTCTATACATCCACAGAGGCACACTTTTCGTACGGAACCGCGAGCTCGTCGAGAACCAGGGCATCTTCGTGGTTCGAAGCAACAACGTTGTTACCATGGCAGCAAAGAGTGGTCGCGCTCAAGCACAGGGCCCAGATCTTAGTGGCATCAACCCTGCCCTGAATGCAGGCCCGAACGGCAACGCGACTGCTATGCCTCCACCCCGTGCCACTTTTGGCCGTGACAAGCTCATTGGCAAAACGGTTGTCATCCGAAAGGGTGCCTACAAGGGCCTGTTGGGTATTGTCAAAGATACCATGAACGACGAAGCCCGTATCGAGTTGCATACAAAGAACAAGCAAGTCTCGGTGAAGAAGGAGCTCCTGACTATCAAAGATCCCATCACTGGCGCCAGTGTCGAAATGGGAGGCAAGTTCCCCAACCGCTCACGTGGAGGCTTCTCTGGTGGTCAGACAAGCTACGGCGGTGCAGCTGGCGGACGTACACCCGGCTGGGGCAACTCTGGTGGTGGTGGCCGTACGCCTGGCTGGGGAGGCGGCGGTGGTGGTCGCACACCCGGTTGGGGAGGTGGTGCCGCTGCTGGAGGTCGAACGCCTGGTTGGGGTGGAGATGGCGGACGCACTGCGTATGGCGGAGGAGACGGATCACGGACTGCTTATGGAGGCGGCGATGGCTCCCGAACTGCATATGGCGGCGCAACTGCATACGGAGGCGCCACATCATATGGCGGAGCGACAGCCTACGGCGGCAATGATGGAAACCGTACCCAGTACGGTGGCTTCAACTCTGGCGGCCGCACACCTGGTTGGGGTGGATCATCCGGAAACACCGCTTCAAAGTCTGGTGGTCTCTCTGCTCCTACGCCTGGTGCTTACAACGCCCCAACACCTGGCGCTTACGCTGCTCCTACTCCAGGTGGCTACGGTGCTTACTCTGCGCCTACGCCTGGTGGCCCACCCATGGATGCTCCTACTCCAGGCAACTACGCTGCGCCTACACCTGGTGACACGTCGCGTGGCGGATATGGTATCGCGGCGCCCACACCTGGCGGTTGGGATGCTGCGACGCCGGCACCTAGTGGCGATCCTGGCTACGATTAGAAACGAAGACGGTAGTCTGCAGTGTAAGATAGGCAGCTGTAGTATGGGTTTGCGCGAGACTGCCCAGCGAGTGGGATCTGCGCATGGCAGAGCACAGTGGGATCTTTTAGATTTGTTCATTGCATTGCTGGAGTTGGCAAAACAGGATAGCTTAAAGTCAGATTACAATTTTAACATCTTCTTCCTTGCATGCGTCGATACCGTCTTCTTGACTTCTCGTGCAATGAAACGCGCGTCCAATAATCTAGACTAGAATGTTTACATCTTATTAAAGGAAGAGACTGAACAACTGCATTACGGTCTAGATGAGTATTGAAATGAAAGTTAGTAAGATCATGATGCAACGCGACCTTCTAAATTGTTAAGTTTAGATAGGTGTTCATTTTCCCCCGGGGTAGACTCTGTTTCACTTTTGCTGCAGGGTTCATCGCGGCCGTCCGTCATTCAGTCACTACAAGCTACATTCAACAAAGCAACATCAATGACATCTCTGATACTGTTTATACGGATATCGTTCGATCGATCAAAGAAAGTAGCTTAGCAAATGCGCAGGAATCGCGAAGAGGGAAGAGTTGGCAGCAGATATTGTTACATTGCTGTAATAAGTCTTATCTAAATCATGATCTAGTAGACTAAAGGAAAAGGAAAGCTGGTATCACTCCACCACTCTCTGTGTAAATGCGAAATAATCAAAGAAGAAATGAAAATCTGAGTTGTCCACAACTCACTACAACACCACTCACTCCGCAACCATGCGACACGATCTTCTAATGAGAAAGGAAATTACATTTAGTACTTGCGTACACGCCTTTGAATAGGAGTACCGACAGTAACCTGGGCAACGAATTAGTACATGTGATCTGACAAAAGCATGGCAGGGAGGGAAGAGCATACCTTAGCATCAAGAAGGCCCAGATCAGCATTGATCTCAACGTTGGTGGCACGAGGCGTAGCGTTCTGAGCAGGAGGGATCGAAGTGTTACCAGCAGCAGCACCAATCTCCAAGATGTTCTCTCCACCGAGGGTGTTCTGGATGAAACGGGAGTTGAACTTGACAATCTTCTTGATAGCGTTGAAGTCCTCAACAGAGACGGGAAGAGGGTCCTTGACAATGAGGAAAGTAACGCCCTCGGCGCAAGGAGGGGTGGTAAGCGAACCGCTGTACGTCTGGATATCAGAGGTCTTGAGCGTCTCAACAACGTCGGTGAAGTCGATGCCGGAAGAGATGGTGGTCTTGGTGCCCGGTGTGGCGATATCGGCGAGCGAGGAGGACAGCGATTGGATCATGGAAGCGGAGTCGCCGGAGGAGATCTCGAACATGAGCGCGATGACGGCGAGTTGGCTTTCGTCGTCGACGCCCT